TAGATTTGCATAATTCAGAGACTTTTGAGACAGGAGTTATTTATTTTCACTGCAGAGTCTATTCTCTACTCATTAAACCATGCTCTACCCAATTATCACAGGTACAGGATACCGTGATAATCGTGATTCTGTTGTATGACATGTGAAAACCCCAAAATGTATTGCTAGGCAAACACTTCATTTTCATGGTAACTGTGAAAGCGCTATATAACATAATTATGCAGCATATGCATAAACAGGTAAAGTAAGTGAATAAGCCATAAAACATGGTAGTTTTGGTCTCCCTTCAACAGAATACAGATATGAATATAAATGAATGAAAAGGTCAGTCAGCAACTTGTTCGATACACATTTTAAAGCTCAGGCTACCCTGGCAACACAATCCTTTTGCTGCTTGCAGACAGTCGCCCGTTGTGTGGCACACTAAAAATCAGTGTGCTGCTACTAAGGGGACAGTCAGTAAGTAGTTAAATATCTCATTTAACCCTAATTTGTAAGAAGCATGAGCTACCTGACTGCTGGGCTCTGTCCAGCCCTGTAATAAAATGATGTAAATCATGTAAATCAGTGGTTCGCAGAGTGCATGGTAGGTGTGATTGCGTGGTACAGTTTATTGCACTGTACTAGTGTGAACGGACCCTCAAAACACTTACATACATACACAGACACAATCTCACACACTCGCAGACATTTACACACATATACATTCCCCAAATTTTTTTTATTTTTCTTAAGATCCACCCAGTCTCCCTACTTAACGAGGTCTGGAGTGGATCCTCAGCCTGGGGTCCGGTGCGGGCTGCTGTGCTGTGATGGAGCTCCATCCATATGTGCATTGCTGGTACAGTTCCCTTGCACACCCTGTAGAGGTGTCGGGAGCCAGAATGTGACATCAGTCCGGTCCAGGCACCTCTACAGGGCATGCGAGGGAGCTGTAAGCAATGCATGTATGGATGGAGCTCCTTCCCAGCCATAGCCCCAGCCCACCCCACCCCAAGCTGACACTCGGCGCTGGGGAGCATATTTTGAATGGCTGCTTGGTGCAAAAACTGACAGTGCTGCGCAAGGGGGAGGCTGAGGAGCCTCTCACCTAACACAGTGGAAGGCACGCGACCCACTTTTGGGTCATGGCCCACCAGTTGAGAACCAAGGATATAAATGATGCCCTAGACCAGGGGTGCCCACAATTTGTGTGTTAAGATCTACTTTTCCAATGTCGAGCTACATGAGATCTACCAACAAAAAGAAAAAACTCCCTCAGTCTCTCTCTCCTGGCTGTCTCTCCTGGCTGTCTCTCCTTGCTCTCCTGGCTGTCTTTCCTTGCTCTCCTGGCTGTCTCTCCTCGCTCCCCTGGCTGTCTCTCTCCTGGCTGTCTTTTCTCGCTCTCTCTCTCTCTCATGGTTGTCATTCCTCGTTTTCTCTCTTGGCTGTCTCTCTTCGCTCTCTTGGCTGTCTTTCCTTGCTCTCTCCCCTGGCTGTCTCTCCCCTGGCTCACCTTACTGTATTTTGCAAACAGTGTAGTGCAACAGGCTGTGTAAACTAATATTCTTTGATGTAATACATAGCACTTCAACCACCAGTATCCCCCAGAAAGGTGTCAGGGAGCTTGGCTCAGCAGACTCAGGCTAATAGGTAATCATGTGTGCACAGCTAAATAAATAGACCAAAATGGAATAAAGGGGCCGCCATTCACACCCTTCCTGATCTACCAGCATCAGCTTTGAGAGCTACTGGTCGATCACGATCTACCTAATGGTCACCCCTGCCCTAGACCAATTCTTCTCATTCCAGCACGTATGGAGATACATAATATGTGTAGCAAAATCTCCCATTACGCATGCGAGCATGAGCATTTGCATTTATATGTGTGCTTGGGTGGGGTGTGAGGCTTTTCATTTTTTAATTCATTTTTTATATTATTAATTTATTTTATTTTTTCAATGTATTTATTTATTTATTTTTTAAACATTCCATATTTTTCCACCTAACTCTATTGCTATCACAAGGGGGCTGATAAGCCCCCAATCTGATAGCATGTAGTAACAGGTACTCTTAATGGAAACATTGGGGAAGATCCCTAATGCCTCATCTGCACTCCTGTCAAAAGGAGTCAAGCACAAACAGTGCCCAATCCCCTTGTTTTCCTCAGCAAAGCCACCATGTTCTGACAACCTGAACCTGGAAGTGCTTAGAGCAGAGTGCTTCCGCATTCATTCATTGCAGACGTTCTTCAATCTGCTCCCGCTCACCATCCTGAGAACCATACAGGGGAAGAGTGGGGATGGGATTGCTGCCCCTAAATGTAAATGTGATTGGGCAGTTTACAGCCACTCGGATCACTTTTATTTTAAAGCTGGGAGTCTGCATGTAAAATAGAAAACAAGGTCACGACATTGGCAGTTAAAGGGTTAAAGAGTCCTTGTCACTGAGAAGAAGGGAACTGCTGACATGAGGTTCCTGCACAAGTCTATCTGTCCTAGCTGAATCTCAGTCAAATCATCAGCACTTACTGATAAGGCCAAAGCTTGCTTCCCCATTCCAGTGAAGCATCACAGTGATGGTCCCATAAAAATAAAAAAGGGTGGGGGCAAGGTTCAGAAACAATCTCTGAAACTACATCTGGCCACACATGGCTCAGATTCTGGCAATTCCTGTTGAATCGGCCAAAATTCAAGCCGTAGGTGGATTTGCCAGCACTGCCCAACTCCACAAATTCAGTTTAAAAATTGAAGGAGCCGGTTGGAAAATGATCAGCCGAACAGTGACAGCCTCCAATCAGATCCAGTCACTGTACAGATTTTCAGACAGCCGCAGGTGTCGTGGCTGCTTGAATACAATAGCCAGCAGGGGCGATTTCCCCATCCACACTCTTTAGCGAGGATGGAATGAATGGGCTGAAGGAGCTAAATCTAGCTGTATATAACCAGCTTACCTCGAAGTGTCAGAGCTTTGCCGATCAGAATGGCCCAGCATTCAGCCACAATGGGAAGGTTTGAGAGGATGCTGCAGGTATGCACAGACACCTCCACTTTAGTGCCCATTCACTCTGAGCGTTTAATCCCGCGATTTCTGCCGCGATATCGTGCATATTTGCCGCACGGTATCGCGAGAAGTCGCTCGTCCAATGATTTTCTATGGAGCTCGCCTGTCGCTCGTGCAGGACCCTTTTTCCCACGGATGTCGCGCGATATTTTTGCATGCAGCCCGCCGGTAAAGGTCGCGCGATCGTAGCTGGAACGTCGCCCTGAACAGTCACGCTATCTTGGGCGCGCGGAAATCCGCTCGAGGTAAGTGTCGCTCAGTGTGAATGGGGTCTTATACATGCAGCCAGTTGCCCCTAATCCCCCTAGTGACAGGTTCCCTTTAATAAACCAGGCCCTTGGCTGTCGAACTTAAAGCATGTCCTGGTGGTGCTTGTGGGAAGGCATACAGCAGAGGGGAGCTGTAGAAAATGCTAAGTATCCTTTGGAGGCTGGACTTAATGTGTATGTAAATCCTAAAAACAAACTTTTTGTATTTACTCCCTTTTGGTCTGTGAAATATACCATTGAAAGCCTTTTGTTATGTCTGTGCGATAAATGCAACACAAAAAAGTACTTGTTGATCCTGTCAAAAGTCCAGTGAGCTCCTAACTTCCTGTACACCTTGCAGGGTCATCTCAAGCAATGTTATCAACCAGTTTACCTTTGTAAAGTACAGAACTCCCCCCATATTATGGAAATTAGGAGGGGGAGTGTTCTGTAGTCCTAATACGCTGCTCCTCCATAGATACAGTACAGTGAGTGAGTGTTATCACCCTGGGATAGGAAGTGTGTTACTGGCCGGTCCCCCAGGTGAAAATAAGGGATAAAGAACTAATAGAGTCACTACATCTAAGGGCCGGGAGAGCTGCAATATATTACAATTCTGTTCTATGTTTAGATTCCACCTTGGTCAAGGTGCACAAGGAGTTAAAGTGCAACTGAAGACAAAACATTTTTTTTTTTAGTTTTGTATAGAGAGGGATTAGAACACCTGGTTTTTACTCATGTCTGTGTCCCCCTCTTTATTTGTCCTGGTGAGCGTTTTCACTGACAACAGGAAAAGATGGGTAAACTTCCAATGGGGACACTAGTTCTGTTGACCCCGCTGACCACCAGGGATATCCTTCTCTATGGAGGGATTTCCTCTCACTTCCTGTTGTGGCTATCGGACAGGAAGTGAAGGAAAATCTCTCTAATGAGAGAAAGTTGACAATAAAACTGATAACCCCGCCTCGCTCTATCCAAAACTAAAAACTGTCTGTAGTTCTGCTTTAACTATTGATCATATGAGACAAATACTACAAAGACTTTGAAGAAGGGGAAATCCAGATGTCTGGCAAATGGCGAACAAAGATTTTCAATCCAGCGAGCGTGTGGGAGAATCATTCTTTCAACAGGCTTAATAAATTTGGCAAATGTTTCAACAGTTGGCTGATCAGCCCAGCTAGAGCCCAGAACATTGGAATCTTACCGATTTAAAGTGACACTAAACTAAATCCCTTAACTATTCACAAAAATGTATCTTATTTGTGTATCACTCGGCTGTAGATCCTCAAATCATCTCTGAATTGGTGCTGACACTGTCCTTCCTTCTGGAGGGTGGCTACTTTTGTTCCCCATGGTCCCTGTGTGTGTTGTAAAGTAGCCACGGCTCTTTCGCCATACATTTTTGTGAATAGTTCAGGTACTTGAATGTACTTGAATGTATTTTTAAGATACATTGAGTTTAGGGTCACTTTAAATTGTGTGTGTGTGTGTGTGTGTGTGTGTGTGTGTGTGTGTGTGTGTGTGTGTGTGTGTGTGTGTGTGTGTGTGTGTGTG